AAGAAGAAGAAGAAGAAGAAGAAGAAGAAGAAGAAGAAGAAGAAGAAAGAGAGAGAGAAAGACAGAGAGAGAGAGAGAGAGAGAGAGAGAGAGAGAGAGAGAGAGAGAGAGAGAGAATACAGCATAGGAGACTATTACTCACTTCCTCTGTTGGGCTGAAGAGCGCCGGGTACAAATCACTGCTACAATCACCACAACCAACACAGTGAGAATGCCAATGGTGACCACAGTTATCACAAGCAGGTTGCTGTTCTTCTGAGGAGTGACACTGCCATGTGGAGGGTGCATCTGTCCAATGGGTGGTTCTGGGGTGAAACAAGTATACAGGGTTCAGGTTTAGGGAGAGGTTGTCACTACTGCTTATCAAACTGTAAGAAGAGAAAGAGTTCTTACTGTTACAGCCTAAGAATGAAAACAAAAGGATTCAAGTGAAAGGAAATACACAAACTTTTACAGGAAACATTTATTAACAGCACTATTCAAAATAGCCAAAATAGAAACAAAATAAATGTCGATTAACTTTAAAAAATTGTGTTATATCCCTTTAATGAAATACTGCCAGACACAGAAAAGAATTGAGTCATGAAATTACAAAGATAAGGTTTCATTCCACTTTTATAAAATATGTAGAGTAGGCAAATCAATAGATGTAGAATGTATTTTAGTGTTAGCCAATGGATGGAGAGATAGCCTATTAGGAAGGACCAATAATGGTTTTGATGAGAGACAGGCCATGAGAAGGACTGATGTTTTTGATTGAAAGACAAGCCAATGAGAAGGGCCAATAATGATTTTGAGTTTCCTTTTCAGTTCATAGAAATCTTCTAATTTCGAGATTGATACAAGTGCACCCTGTTCACTATACTAAAAGCAGCCAACATGGAACATTTCCAAAGGTGAACTTATAGAAGAATTGTATCCTGATCAACAAACTAAGGATATAATATTGGGAAAAACTTTTTCATTGTGTCTGTTTTGTGTTGGTCAGCTACTCCCGGGCACCACACCTGCCCTGGAGTATGGTTGATAATACCAGTGACACTCCATTGGAGAAAACCGATTTTCCCTCTGCCAGCAGGTGTTAATTACACATAGCTTCTTGTTTAACGGTGAGACTTTGTGTGCACATAAGCTTCTCAGTTTGGGATTTTGTCTAGTTGACGATTTTGTGTGTGCTCCTAGAGTCTCTAAGTTTTTTGGGGTATCAACCCTGTTATATCTGGAAGGCAATGTTGAATCTTCCCATTGGCATGAAAATATCTGATAAGAACATTGAATTTCTACTAATAATTTACCAATCTCAGAAGAGTCATTTCACAGAAACATATAGGACTTTATATCACGTTATTTTGAGGAGTTGAAGTGTGATTGCTTGCATGCTGAGAAAAATAGTTCCTTGAAATAAATTACATTGATCCAAGCAACTATCTTTCATCTTGCATCCAATATACACGAATTTAAAAGAAAATAAAAGGATATCCAACAATTCTGAGTATTTAAAAATTGATAATTTCATATCTTTATTAAAGAGAGGGAATCAAAGTGGTGAAACGTAAGTTTAACAAAGTTTCAAAATCGAGTTCAATGGAATAAAGCTTTATCGGACATGTGGATCTTTTGATCAAATTTGCTAAATTTATTTTGCAAATCCCAGGCAGAATTACTTGCAAAGGGGTTTGGTATTTGCTGGTAAATAGAGCAGGGTTGAGCTGAGGTAACTTCTACAGTGGTTGCCATTCACACGAATGTAAGGCACAGACTGTACTTAGAGAAGTGGAAGCATGTTCAGTGTCAACGAAGAATGTGGAGTCTAGTCTAAAAATTAAATGCATCATAAAACTGAAATAGTACTATATCACCAAACATTTAGCTTTGATTCTTCCTGACATGAGAAAATATTTAAGAAGCCTCTACAGCTTCTACAGTTTTATTACGGGCTTTCAACTAAAAGAGAATTCATGAATTATAGCATTCTCATATACTCTTTTTTTTTATTCAAAAGTGAATTTTAAAAAGGATAGAATGAAAAACAAAGAGCATAAATGATTACCGGGGCCTAAATTTATTTGAAACTGCCATTTGCATCCTGAAAATAAGCTATTATTCTATTATTATGCTTTGAAGAATGAACCCAGTAAATGTAGAGAAAGCCAGAAAACACTGAAAATTCTGTCAGTCTAAGGGAGATGTATGCAATTTCATTATGTGAGAGGTTTCAGAACAAAACGTGGGAAGATATTTTTGTCAATACAGACATCTTTTAAGGGTAAGGTATGCCTGCAAACTTGTCTCTCAGGGACTTCACTTACATATCTAATTGGAAAAAATACCCTTTTCCCCAAACCTTAACACTTTACTAGGATTTTAGGGAATCTCAGGTTTCACATGCCTTTATGGGATTGTTTATAATCACCAGAGCTTGTGCCAAATCACATATTTACCATAATTCTTCTGCTAGTACAATAGAAGAGGAAAGAGATTAGGTTTCCCTTTCTCCATCCATGTGTCTTGGGGTTTTCAGTTTGCTGCAATCAGCCAGAATAATAATTTGTCTACTCGGTAGTTAGTCTAGACATACTGCATGTACATCATTAGTCTCATTCACTTAGCACAATATTTCTAAAACATCATGAAGTGATAGCAAAAGCTGTGTAGGATAATGACAACAGTTGAGATGAACTGGCTGGGAACCACTGGACGTTACTATCTGGTTTGCCTTCATGAATTTTCTCTGTGAGGTAATGTTTGCCAGGTCAAATTTAATTATAATTTTTATTCTTACTAAGAATATTAAACCTTAAAAAGAGAAGCACATACTGGCATGCTTTTGAAATCACTGTCCTATTCTTCAGTTGAAGACTCACTCCTGTAAACAGGAAAGTTTATTGATTGGCAGGCTCATGTCAGATTTAGTTTGGTGCTTCTTTTTAATCAAAATTTCATTTTATTTTGAAAGACAACTTTTAATACTTCAGCAAAACTTTTAAGCTTGATGCACACTGGGGAGTGACATATTTAAGAAGTGAAAATACAAGCAGCTTAGGGCAATTTTGAGTAATTTCTCATTGCATATGCATATATGTTAAGAAGCATAAACACATTGAAACAGAAATCTCTTGCAAAGAATTTACTTATGTCAGATTTTTAGGCAATTGTGAACAAATTACGATTTTACTTGCTAAATCTAAATCTATTCAAGACGATATCTTTCAGGACATGTAACTTCAAAGAGAACACAATTTTGCCTGTGGTTTACACTTACCCCACCATTAACATTTACATCCACTGCCTAGCAACACTGAAAGTTAGGGGAGGATCATTACTTTTTCTCCATTATCCATTATCCATAGAGGATTGCTTCTTTAATTTTCTGGTATTGCCCACTTCAAAACATATTACCTGTGATAATAATTATAATGGGGAATGAATTCCTACTCAAACAACTTCATAAAACTGGTATACCAAAATTGGTAATTTAAGATGACTCTAAAATTTGCTAGTATGTTTAAATGTATGTGTACATTAAATGTATGCATATATATATACTTGAGAATGAATGTTTTAGGTCAGAGAACCAGCCATGGGTGTCATTTCTTCTTTCTACTATGTAGTCCAGAGATCTGACTCAGGTCCTCAATATTTGTATGAAGCACCTTAAAATACGGAGGTATCTTGCTGTCTCTTTAGACTGATTCTAAGGGGAGATTTTGATTCCTTAAGTGGACTCTAGAACTAGAATTTCTCCATCATATGTGATATGTGATATATGACATATGACATCATATAACATGATATGATTGATATATGCTCTACTATGTATGATGTATGATGGTATATGATGTATAACATATGATACATATATATATATATATATAATTTATATGTAATGTCTATCTATCTATCTATCTATCTATCTATCTATCTATCTATCTACAAAGCAACCTTAAAAAATTATATCTATCCATGAATATTTCTCACCATCTCACCTTGGTAGTTTAATCCATTTGAATAATTCTTCATCTTTTATTTTTTTTTGTTCCTGAAGTAATACAATGTCAAACATATACCCACAGTTTATTACTAGAACCCTACACTCAAAGGAGTTTTAGTAGCACATTTTCCTTTACAAAATATTTATTTGTATTTTATGCATGTTCATGGCACATACATACATATTTGTGCACCATACTTTTGTAGTGCCCAGGGAGGCTATGAGATGATATAGGATCCCATGGAACTGGAGCTGCGAACAGTTGAGACAGTCACATAGATGTTTGGAATTAACTTCGAGTTTATACAAGAACAGCAAGTGTTTTTCACCACTGGGTCATTACTCTAGATCATTAGTAACATTTCTGGACTGGCATTTTAAATATCAGGAGTGTGTCTGGTGTATTGTTAATATTTAAGAAAAACTTTAAGTGGGATTAAGTTAATGAAACTAGCAACATTTGGTAGTCAGAATGATAATTACCCTGAAGCTATTGTAAAAGGAAGCCACTGGTCTCGTTTCAGTTCCAACACAAGCCTTTCACATTAGTGCTGTGAGCTCCATCCAGCCTTGTACTTATAAGAGACCTCCAGAGCTGGGTATTGATTTAAACAAGTATTACAGAAACAAAGGAGAGAACATGTAAGAAAGTACAGGACAATATGGACCTTCTGGAAAAAGTATCCTGTATTTAACCTTAGACTTGACTGGAACATATCTATGTTCAGGATGTTGTCTAAGATCTGAATATCAAGAAGAGCATGTTTTCCAATAATGAGCATGATAGATTGGTCTTTGGTTACAATTAAATTATCCTCTCAAAGACATTGCTTCAACAAACTGAGACAAGCTTGTTTGTCTCAAGTAGAGTGTGGCTTTCAGTCTGTTCATTACCCAGGATTTCCTTTATGTGGTCACCCTAAAAGTTCAGAGTTATATGGAGAAGCTTTACTAGAGGAAGCAAGGAAGATGACTAAACTTGAGAGTACAAAGGGCTACTAATATAAAATATTAGAGTAAATGTACTTTTTTCTGTGCAAATTCCCAGCAACTTTATAAAACATTGTTGGTTCCAAATTTAATCCCTAGTCACCATCTCTCTCCAATAAAAATGGTTGTTGCAAATATTTGAAATACACGACCACATTTCAAAATCTATGTATTTAATAAATCTTGTGTTGGTTACTTTTTGTGAACTTGACACATATTAGGATCATCTTAGAAGAGGGAACCTCAATTGAGGAAATTCTTTCATTAGAGCAGGCTAAAAACTAGTCTGTGGATGATTTTCTTGATTAATGATTGATGTCCCTGCTCACTGCAGGCGGAGCCATTCCTGGGCAAATGGTCTTGGGCTGTATAAAAAAGCAAGCGAAGCAATCCACAGAGAGTAAATCAGTAAGAAACTTTCCTCCATGGTCCCTGCTTCAGTTCCTGATCCCAGGCACCTTCCTAGAACTCCTACCCTTAAATCTCTCCATGTTAGACTATAAGCTGTAAACTGAAATAAATACTTTCCTCTATATATTGTCTTAGCCAATATTCTTTCAGCATATTAGAAATCAAACTAGGAAAGGCCTGTATCATTTATAAATTGCCCCGTGCTGAAACTTTTCTAATTATTTTTTCATGCATCTGTCACCTCTAATTGTCATCATTTTCTGGTAGAATGTGTGAAGTTTGCTAATAATATCATTTTTCTATAACCAAAGTGAATCCCTAAGTCCATAGTTCTTGCCCTTGTCAATAGAAAATTTGTTTTGGATACTGTAGAATTAACCATGTAATTAGTATATCTAATCCAATAGAACTCAATTTATATACTTACCATTGAGAGTGCTTCTATCAATCAAGTTAGTATCAACTGGCCAATAACCTCCATCTCCATGACGACCTGTGTAGATAAGCACATTAGAATGTTAGTGGATATAGCCTAGGGAACTACGGAAAAAAAAACCAACAAAAAAAAATATAAAGACAAAGAAAAGAACTCTAAGCATACACTATAGAGAAGAATTATTTAGGCTGCTTCTATGAATTTCATTTTTCCAATGTGTAAGAAAAAAATCTGTCATACGTAATCCAGTTAAAATCAACTCCTTTCTGTGGAGCAATCTCTTCTCTTCTCTGTATCTCTGTCTCTGTGTCGCTGTATCCCTCTCTCTGTCTCTGTCTCTTTCTCTTTCTTCCCTGACAGGTATAATAAAGTATATAGAAACAAACACAAAAGATATGGCATAGACATACTAAATGGTTTTGTCTTAGAGACTTCAGAGCAAAGATAATCTAAGCCATGGCTCCTAAGTCCAGCTAGATTTTATTGTCTCCTGCCTATCACAGATTTTTAGCAAGACCCCATTGATGTCTTACCAGGCCAAGACTTGTTTCATTTGAAATTTGGCTTTAAGTACTTTCTGGTAATGTTATCTGCCAAGTAAGGTGCTTGAGAATAAATAATAACTATACAGGGAACAAAGACTCTTATCAAGATCCCCAGGCACATAATCTACATATCTGTTGCTATCACACAGAAAAAGAAAGAAGGTACCCTCATTATAGTATTATTGGGATATGTGCCTCCCATAGGTGCTAGGTGGATGAGAACATAGGGTTTAGAAGAATCAAATCACAAATTGATCGAAAATACTTATATGATAGTAGAAAGTTAACTAAGGATGCTATATAACAGATAATCCTTTATGTATAAATGTTGAGAAATCTAATGATCACTTTGACCTTTGGAATATCTAGGTGGGCCACTCGTAAAAAACATTAAAGACTTGACTTTACAAGCAAACATGTCCCAGCATACAGAATTTGTTTCTCAAGTATTTCCATTTAGGACAGTGGTAAGTGGTTGACCTCCAAAGTGAGTGTTTTTCTTTGGTTCCATTAGTAGATTACATGTTTCCTTCTTCTGACTTACAAGTCAGCCTTGTGGCATTCCTTTGCATACCCCAAATTCTTCTCACTAGTATTGCCCAGGCATATATTGATTTTATTTGCAAAAGCTCTGTGGAGAAGCAACTTAGTATTCTGTTCAATGATTCTCAGCACAGTTTTTAAAATTCTTTGGATATCAATTCTCAGCTGAAGTTAGCATGGACACCAGGCTTCCAATAAGCAAGGAAAGATATTAATTCAATCACAGTGAATCATGCTTTTCACATAAAATGGCTTATTTAAACTCCACATGGTATGACTGTATTGAAAGGAAGTAGAGATTAAGCTAAAGTTTCTTTATGTATGTGGTAGGGAAGTTGGGAGGTAAAAACAGTATAAATCAGAAAAGGTTGTGCATATTTTGGTAGGCTAACTACATCAGTGGACAGTCTTAACTTTTTTCCAGATATATGGCTTATGTAACCAATACATCTAAAGTTTCAAGGAACTCAGGGAAGCTTTGCCCATAGCATATTGTGCAATCAATGTAGAATGAAACGAAGTGAAAGAGGAGATTCTGTATGAATGTTAAGAATACTTTTGCAGCAACTGAAAACAGCTAGATTGCAGAGCAGTCAGCCAAAAGACATCCTAACCACCTAATCATTTAGGCCAGTAACAGCAATAAATGACTCCTGTAGGGAGTAATCCTATATTGACTAGAAATTAGGTAGATAGCCTGGGGAGGATTTTCCTTTTCCTCCAGCCTCTTGACAAATGTCTTTTTAATGAAGTTTTTAACTCCTTGCTAGTTTGTGGGAAGGTATGAAAATAAATCCACAAGCATGTCCATGTATTACTCAGACAGGAAGCTGTACACAGGTCTAGAACCCTTTGGTTTATATTGAAAATACAGTAAAAAGAGAATATCTCTGTTATCATATGGACCACATTCTTATACAGGAAAAAGGAACCATGGAAGTGCTTCTAAATAGCATGTGGCTTAAAACTTGGATATTTTATCCACAAAGTCTCATATGTTGACACAGCTAGCTTTTTGTTGGTTTTGACTAGCTTGATACCACAAAATAAAATTAAGTAATTAAATAAACCCAACAGAAAAATATCATTTAGTAAATGAGATATAATCAAAGAGGAAGGCTGGATTTACGGTAATTTTATATTTTGCAGTTCATCAGAAAAACAGAAAACTCATTTCCAGATATTGATGACTACTCAAAGATAACTTGATCTAAAGACAAGCTTTAATTTTGTGCTATTTCCATTCTCGGAAAGATTCTTTTTAAATTCCAAGGAGGTTTTCCTGATGGATAAGTCATAAATAACTATTACTAATATTGATAGCAACAACAAGAAAATATGCTTGTAGCACTGCATCAAGAAGTTACCAAATGAGAAAAGGACTGCTGGTACCAGGCAGACCAACTCATGTTTGGGGACTCACTACTGTGAAAAAAATATTTAATGTGTTCAGTTAACTCAGTTGAGCTTTTAGGCGTTGACTTACAGAAATAGAGGAGTGATTGGAATTTGAACATGGTTGAAGTGAATGCCAGTCAATGTAAATATTCAGACTACTGCCCTATCCCAAAGGTCTCAGTTTCATTAAAGGAGAATTAAATGGTTATAACTTATTCAACATTTATTGAATGCTTGCTACACAAAAGGCATAGCTCTAGATTCTCAGGGAAGGAGGAGTGTATAAAAAGATTCATTAACATCATGTCCAGTGATGACAGCTAGCATTGGCTTATTATATCGAAAGCTTAAATAATCCTATTCATGGTTTGTAATTCACTCTGGGTTTAAAGATTTAAGCACAACTTCATCCATTTTTTTCTATACAACACTGCCAGATTTTCCTAAAAATGTTTTTCATTTATCTAGTATTATTAAAAAGGAATGCCTGTGAAAAAAATGTGATGTTTTAGCAGTGTTGCATTAATATCTTAAAAATGGAAAATTTAGAACCCTCAAGTTATTTTGATGTAATGTATAAAATCTTCAAACATTGAAAGTGTGTGAGGCTTTCAGAGTGAATTTGAAATAATCTCGAGTGTCTGAGACCTCTCTGTCATTTGCTCCCAGGACTGAAGTTGAGAAAGCAGACAGGTTATGGCTGTCTTTAGGGAGTATGCAAATTTGTTTGTCCTTGATGCTGATCCCAGTGGTATTTGTGATGAGCTCTCAATACTGGAGGAGAGACTCCTGTCAATGAAGATGGTTTTCAATAAATCACTAAATACTATGCATTTAAATTTTTTATCTTTTCAGTTTTTCATTATGATTTTCTTCTCAGAGGCCAATTAAAATACTGTTACTTTATTTTTACTTCATATAGTCTTTGTATGTGCATGGGTGCATATGTGTGTTTATGTATGTGTTTGTGTAAAATTAAGCTACATTAATATTTATTTGATGTCCTCATTTGCAGCAGATAGACAGTATTTTTTATGGCTAACAACGTTTTGCACCTAGAGACGAATTGTGTTGTGTTTTGGTGTTAAGAGTCTTCTTCTTCTTTTTTTTTATTTTGTCTTTTCTGTGGTTGTTTACAGGTCTGGGGAGGAGAGTGGGACATTAGTGTGCAGAGGCCATTTAGGAAGTTGGATGTGGTAGCTGTAATCTCATCTCGAATCCATCTTTCCTGAACGGGCATTCAGAAGGTCTACACTATCCATCCCCAGAGAAATACATATGGACCATAATCTAAATCAAACGGGCAGATGGGTCTTCTGACAAATATTTACTGCACAGTCCTCCCAAGAATGCAGAGCACGGAGTTATCTTCTTGATCTTAGAATTGGCTTTCTGAGAATAATTCTGGGGGGTAATGACGAAAATTGCATCGATTTTATGTCTTGTACACCAGTGGATAAAGAAGATCCATTAATGCCACCTGAATACAATTTTACTGCCCAACACACAGATCACATTGAGATATATTTAAAACAGATGATTTGTCTTAGACGAGATATGTGTGTGAGGGATGAATTTATCATGCAGGTGATAATACTGGTGACTTTCAGCAAAGATATCAGGGCATCAGAAACCAGGAAACAGAACAATAACACCCGAGAGTTCTCAAATACATATTAATAGAAAGCAGCTGCTCGTTCTTTCCTAAGGTCCAATGCACTGTGTTTGAATAAACATAAAATAAAAAAAGTTATCGAGTGAAGGAAAACATAAGAGCTCCAGATGCAGCAGCAGCTAATGTTCTCAGCACAGGTGAGGTTTGGGGGTGAGTAAACCCTGATGCCTTCTCTTCTGCAAAAGCTTTAGTTGCGTGTGTCTCCTGTACATACTCTTAGAGCAATAGGGGAGGTTTGTTAAATGACTCTGAGTTGCCTAGATTGAGAAGAACTCTGAGCACATCTCTCTTCATCCATTTTAATCCTAAAAGATCATTTATTTCTATTCTAATTTTTGTCTGTACACATTTACTGTAAATGGAGCTGACTCTTCATAAAAAGAAGACAAATAAAACTGAAAGTTAGGGTTAGAATTTCATGCATAAATGTGAAGGAAAAGGAATGGGAAGTTTTGTGGTATTTGTTAGTCATGGCATCCATACTTGAGAAATTTATATGGACCATTCCTTTATCCTAAATGCTTGCTTTAAGAAGATGTCTCAATTTAATTCTGAGTATCGATATCCTGAGGCAAATGTATAGTTTGACCAAGACATGGAGTATGGTTTCCTAAGAAACCTCCAAAGGTAAGAAAACAGTTTACAAATAATGCATTTCTTCTCATTTCCTTGAACACTAAATAAAACCAGCCCTGTCAGACTTATCTGGACACCTACATACGGAGATGTCAGATGTTAGTCATCAGAACAATTTAATATAAACATCTTACATCACACAGCAAACATATGTACAGAAATAATATATATAATTTATAAGAAAATATAGTATATAATATAAAATTTCATATATATATACATATATATATACATATATATGCATTCTACTACTCTGACAC